TGCGTCTGCTTAGCTGGAGCCTTGTTACGGTGTGTGTCACAGTGTCAGTTCCACCTATGATCGATCGGTATCCTAACCGGTTTGCGTTATCCCTGGCTCCTGCTTCAGTATGTCTCTGGATGATCTCCAGCTAATTTACCACTCTACCGATGCATCTAGACGAATAACGTAGGCGTATATATAGATCCGGCGATCGCCGGCGCCCGTGGCTTCTTCCTCGGGTTATTCAGATTCAGAGCCGCGCAATTCCGGTCGCTAAGCAAGCAGTGCTGCATTTTCGAAGCGTCAACATACGAAGATCGATGATGCGCTGCATCTGCCATGCGAGATCCGGCCAAGGTCCGGGATAGGAAGATGGGATTCTGATTTCTGAATCGGAAAAGGACGGCTAAGTGGTGGCCGTTTCACTTTCACCGAGGACAGCACGGCATGATCGTCGGCAGCCGCATCTCCTGATGTCTTTCGTCGTCCACCAAAGGACCTCTCTCTGAAATGTATATGTACCCCCATTGGTTCTTGATGGTCACCGCGGCCGTCGGCAGCGAGCCACTAGCCAGGCCGGGGCACTGCTTCAGTCAGAGACCCAGACTAGGGGGAGGAAAAGCAGGGCAGTCAAGGAGATGTTCACAGTAGAGCGCAGCGGAAATTCGTTCAACAACTTAGGGCCTGTTCGGCTCTCCGCCGGCTCTGCAGAATTACGGGATCTGCGGAGCACCTACCTTCCAACTCCGTTATTTTAGCCTGTAGCTCCGTCAGCTCCGCGGAGCAAGTCCGGAGCGGAGGGACTCCGAACACCCCCTTAGGGGCTGTTTGGCATCCATCAGCTCCCGAATTTAAGAAGGGAGTACCTGTTCACTCGCTCCGCATTTTTCAACTAGAACTCCGCCAACTCCGGAGCGGGCAGCGTGGAGCAGAGGAACTCCGAACAGTCCCTTAGTCTCAAGTTCCTCGCTCTTGGTGGAATACGCAAAGCAGTATGTAGGAGGATATCTACTGGTGTAGAATATGTATTCGTACTTGTGATTCGAGAACGCACATAGGTTCCGGAACCCCTGATCCCGTTTCTCCTGTTAGGGTTTTTCTTTTTCGAAAATACTTCTGATCTATTTATCTTCAATCATGACAGTACAACGAACATCAGAAATAATAAAAATTACATTCAAATCCGTAGACTAACTAATGATGACTACAAGCACTGAAGCGAGCTGAAGACACGCCGCCGTCATTGCTCCTCCCTCCGTCATTGCTCCTCCCTCGCCGAAGTTAGGCAGAACTTATTGTAGTAGACAATCGGAAAGTCGTCGTGCTAAGTCCACATAGAACCAGCACACCAGAACAGTAACCGCCGCCGATGAAGAATAACGTAGATCGAAAGAATCCAACTCAGAGAGACGCGAACATAGACGAACAACAAAAAGATATGAGCAAATCAACCGAGGATAGATTCGCCGGAGACACGTCTTCACACATCCACCAACGATGCTAGACGCACTACCGGAACGGGAGCTAGGCGGGAGACCATTATTCGATTAGTTTTGCTAAGTCTCAGTCGACCGAGACTTCATTACGTCTCAGTCAATGCTATCTTCCTTTGATTTTGCATGGAGATTTCTACAAAAAATTTATTTTCACTTTTTCTTTTTTTTCTTACATACTATATCACTTGACTAAGACTTGGTTAAGACTTAGTTGACTGAGACCTAGCCACACCCTTATTCCGTCTTCAGGGAGCCGCCGCCGTTTTACCTTTCTAAGCAGGACACAAACTCTAACAAAACTTAAATGAACGACTAACAACAGAACCCTCCAGCCGGCCCTTGCCAAGATTCACCGCGCCCCCCTGGCCCTAGGGCCACTAGAGACAAGGCGGACCTGCGGCGGTGCTGGCGAGAGGCCTTTTTTGGAGGGAGGAGGAGGAGGCCCAATTGTCCGGACTGATGCATTTAGACGTTTTTTTTGCCGTCCAACGTGATGCGGCATACGTCATTGGACAAGTCCACGCGTTTGAATTCCCGCAAACTGGCACCAAGTCCGATAAAGGTTTGCCGACGTTCGGAAGTCCTCGTACGCGTCTGACTACACGGCCCCATCCGAAACCTCTTCCAACCGTATCTCCAAAAAGAGGCGTTGTGCTTAAGGGGATTACTTTTTTTCGATGATACTTTAGTGATCATTGATAACGCAAGCTTAGATAAGCATAGCTCCCTTTCCCTTGATGCGGTGTTGTATGAGCTCGATACGAGGGTTGGATGAAATTCCCTTTGTCAAAAATAAAAGGCGTGGATGCGTTTGGTAGCCTAGTCAGGCCGTTGGATGTAATTTTTGTCCACTTGGTTGATCGAGTTACACCAAAATTTTGGTTAACACGAAACGTAAAGCACTCGTGAACTCGGCTATGAAGAAATGCTTGAATCGGCCGTTTTTAGCAAGGCATGCCCGAGCAATGCAATCAAGTGCACTTGAGTAGGTCTGGCGATGCGAGCTGAGTGTAACCCATGGGTTTGCAGGTGTTATGTTCTACTCATCTCCTTTAATCCCTAACATAATCTCTTCTAATCTACTCCTTCCGTTCGGAATTACTTGTCACAAAAATGAATGTATCTACAACTAAAATATATCTAGATACATTCATTTCTTCGACGAGTAATTCCGAATGGAGGGAGTATATAATAGTGTTTTGATTCCAAATGACCTCTACCCGAAAAGGAGGCACATGGGCATTGTGGTTCCGTTCAGATGACCGGTTCTTAATTTTGACTGTAAATCTTCAATTTTGTGTTTATGTTTAGAGGGTTTTTTAGATGGATTTTGTCAAATTCTTCGCACACATTCAACTGTTTGAAATTTCCTTTCATCACTAGCTTCATCTCGTTGTTTCACACGACTTTCATATTGTACGTTTTTTGTTTTGACGGTCGTAGACGAGTATATTTACATCTCCTACTAGACTGCACCAACGTGTTAATGTGTACATGTTATTATGAACCAAAGAATTTTGGCAAAATCTTCTCACATGGTCGTCTATTTGAAGTTTCCTTTCACCACTAGCTTCATCTCATTATTTTACACGACTTCCATGTTGTCGTTTTTTTATGATAGTGGTAGACGAGTAGAACTACATCTTCTACTAGACTGCACTAATGTGTTCCTGTTATGAACTGATGAATTTTGTTATTCTTCGCACACGGTTGAGCGTTTGAAAATTTCTTTTTCCACTAGCTTCATCTTGCTATTTCACACGACTTCCGTGTTGTACGTTTTTTGGTTCAGCGGTCGTAGACAAGTAAAACTATGTCTTCCCTATTCCCTTTTTTGAAAACGTTCGATCTGTTCATTATCAATCATGGCAGTACAACGAACACCAGAAATAACAAAAAATTGCATCCAAATCCATGGACTAACTAACGAAGAATAAAGCATTGAAGTGAGCCGACGTTATCGCCCCTCCCTCACTAGAGCTAGGCAAAAAAATTTATAGTAGACAGTCAGGAAGTCGTCGTGCTAAAGCCCCATAGTATCAGAGCACCAAAATAACAATCATCATCAATGAAGAGAAACATAGATCAAGGCAGATCGACGATGCAGACGACAGGAGGCAGGAACCCTAGTCGATTGTTCAGTTAAGACAAGACGAGGGTTACGGGCCTGATGGGCGACATTCACCTGGAAAATGATTTGCACTCAGTCGATTTCGTGACCGTTAAATGAGCATTTGAGGGTTTTCACACCTTCTTTTACCTCGAGCCGACCCTTCTACTGTTCCTTCAGCACTCCGTTTTCATGAGAGGTGAGTTCATCAGGTGGGTACGAGGTGAGACTAATCAACCAAACAGTCGTGTGTGCGTTTCTTCTCAGCCAGGCTAAGGAGGATGCTGGTACCAAACTATATGCAAAACATGATTTTTGGCAATGTATTTACTCAGCCAAGCTCAACTCAGTCATCAGATGCAAATACGCCAAAAATGATGAATTGCCAAACACATATGGATACTGCCATCGCCGGCGTCCGTAGCTTTGTTGGTGCGTGCATCCATCGGAGGATATATGTTCAGATCGTTTTGCAAAATTCCAGTAACTCGACTGAACTGTGCTGCATTTTGCACGGGCATACGTATTTGTCATGCCAAAAATTCGAGCAAGGTAGGTCAGGGGAGCTGCAGCGGCTACACACGAACATGTGATTCTGAATCAGCCGAGGAGGGCCAGTACGTACTAGTTTCTCGACCGACGACAAAACCAAATCTCCTGACGTCTTCCATGTTTATTCACCGTCCAAAGAATCTCTGCGACGCCATGGCCATTTCTCGGTGCTGGAAGATGCGTCTAAGCCAACTTCAGGCGGTAATACTCTACCGCCAATGTTTCAAACCCCGAGCAGCCATGGGATTACTGGAGGCACTCCACTTGTCAACCAGCAAGTTTCGACCAGTTTCACAAAAGTGGGGGTCAACAAAAATAACCAGACTCCACCAACGGCTTCCAAACCGCACATCTGCAACCGGTTACCATAGCCTGTATGTCACACCTTCATCCATCCATCCACTGGCAGCCAGAACTAACTTGAGAGATGTTGCAGTTAGTACCATCTGCTGTTGGGATGATTGGTAGTACTAGCTATATATACAGGGTCACAATGTGCGCGCATTTCACTCCTTTAGGCCCTGTTTGGATTTTCCAATGAACGCCGGGATCACACGAAGTTTGCACCTCGATCCAAACAGGGCCTCAGGGAAGAAACAGAACATTAACAGCAGCAAAAAGGAATCGACAGCAAGTTAACAGGATGGGTGAAGAAAATGAACCTTGCACTCTTCTGATTCCACCTACATTAAGGTTAAACGACCGGGACGCTAACTTTCCATACATACAAATCAAACCACGGCAGCCTAATTTTTAAGCTCTACTAGCAATAGATTTAAATGAGATAGATAAGGGTTGTCGCTAACTCGATATATACAAAATGTACCACTTTGGGTTCCCACTTCCCACAGCCAAGCATTCTACCACGTACCAAAGCTGCAGCTCACATGCTCCTGTGTGATCTTCTGCAGCTGGCTCTGCATCACCTTGAGGGACGGGTATGCGGGGAGGCAGAGGCGGTAGAAGCATGTATGCGACGACGGGAGATGGTCGGCTGACTCCGTTGTCTTGTATATGTACAGCTTTGAGCTCAGCCCACCAAAGCCTTCTGAGGGCAAATATTTCACTGAGGTCCAGAAGAAGAGGAGCTGCCTCTGTTGCTCAACTGGCATGCTCTCCACGGCCTACCGTGTGAATAAACAAGTACACAAAACTGATTAGACATGCATAAATTGATTATGCTACAAAAGAAAGATACACAGATTTCAACTGAAACTTTTCACACATACACACGAGATATAACAGCGGACACAGATAGGGACAATGTGCTGGTGCTTTGCCATTAAATTTGCACAATTCATTATATTTGAAACAATGGTTGATATCAGCACCACACCAACTCTGGTCGAGTGTTGGGAAAAGCTGTTTGGTTGTACTCATCTCATTACACAAAGGACGAACATGGTTTTCTTTTTAGAACTCCGATAAGCTAGAAAAATGATGCAATCATAGTTGGGATTTTAACATATGCAGGATCACATGTTAACAGTCTTGTTAGTGAAGACAACATGCGATTTCCCAGTTCTTTGCACCAACCAGCAAGAATACTGGCCAGGCTTTGTTTGGTTACTTGCCTCGTTCAGAACTCACACTAGGACCAAAAGAAGAACTAAAAACCTTTTTCTGCAATGATAGAAGCAGTTCAATCATTTTTGTTGGGAAAATAATATACAGGATGGCACATACAAAATACTGGGTATCAAGTGAATAGATCTTAATGGATACATGGATGTTAGGATTGTGATCTAAATATCTCTTGCACATTGCACCACACGTATATACCTCACCTATTTATCTATGGTTGATATCAATGTTTCCTCCTAAATCTACATGGGAGTCAAAGTGAGAGATGGTATGAATCACAAAAAAAAAGTGAGAGATGGTATGTTGCCCATGAAAAATTGAGAACATGGGATGAGCAGGTGATTAAAGCATATCATGGCATGGAATAAAATAAATGAAAATCCATGGCTAAGTAATACACAGCATACCTTCCAGAACCAGTTAACATGGCGATCTTTTTCTTTGTAGCCATTATATTGAGTATGTGATCTCCAATCTTTCAGATTTATAGTGTTGTTGCTTCCCCCTAGCATTCGGTCAAAGTCTTCTAGATCCAAACACCCGAAAAATACCTCCCGGAGTTTCGGATTAGCTAATATGTCGCCAAATCCTCTTGCGAAATTAGCTAGCTGATCAGAAATAGAGTCAACAAAGATATTCTTAATAAGAAGATCTATGTAGTGCTCTCTGTTACTGATGTTCACAGAGATATCCTGCCCTCCTTTGCAAAGCTCAATAGTCTTTCGAGACCCTAAGGTATGAACATCTCGGGAAAATGTTAAAGTTAAATCATCAATCTCGGCAGCACCCATCTCTAGAATCCTTTTACAGCTTGCATACGTGAAAGGGTCTGCAGCAGAAATGTCTTCCAATGTAATACTTCTCCCAGCAAGATACAAAAATAAGGTGCGGTCCAAAACTATCCCTACTTGCACTTTATGCATCAATGCTAATCCAATTACTCGTCCCGAAAAAACGAAGTATTTCAGGTGCAGTGGATCAACAACAGATGCTGCAAAGCACAGATAAGTACCAAAAGTTAGAAGATATTCAATCAGCACCGACTTGGTTTGCGGACATAACGTGTCTCATCAATATTGAATGCATAAGAACCACAATTAAGTAGAAGAAAGCCGAAAGATTGCTCATTTGCTCGAATAACTAGAATTAAGTACAGTTTGATGTGAAGTTTATTTCAGAAAGGAAAATTGCCCCAACAAGCCCGACAAAACTATTTCAGCTTGTCCATCAAGCCTCCTCGAACTTCCAATTTGTTGATTTGAGCCATGAACTATCCAGTATTTGCAATTAAGCCCGACAAAACTGATTGGTAATTAGAGCATCCACTGTTTGTTTTTGCTCTAATCATGCCACTGCTAAAGAACATCTAGTTAGAACCTTACAACTAATATGTCTTCTATATGGGTGTTGTTTGAGCAAATGAGTATTCATACTGAAATTTCAGAAGGTTTGTTGGGGCTTGTGAGTGTTCTTAACTAAGTTTAAGTGTGAATACAAAGAGACCTCATATCGGTAGAAACAAATCTCAAAAACATGTTAAAAGTTTGAGCAATAGTTAGCAGTCCATATTAACAACACTTTGTAGTTGTGCTGCCAATTGTTAATCTTGTAAGCAAAAGGGTCAAGACAGCTAAAACTAGAAGGGGTAGTTGATGGGTCAAAAGAACAAAACTGCACTTAAAGGCTTGATCGCACAAAAAACTGAAGTGATGAGGCCTGAGGGGCTCAAATCGGCAGCATTAACTCCTTGATCACCTATATGGAAATAGGTTGAAGGCTTACAGTCCTATTTTGCCTTTCTGAAAATAAATGTGCCACTACATGTCTACAGGGTAGACAGCTTGGTTGCTATTAGGCTAACCAGATGATCATTTTATATTTGCTTGAATCCAATAAGAAATTACCACTGTATTTAGGCAAAAGGGGAATTAACTCACTACAAACGGTTTAGCATTCCCCTATATAAGAAGTTTGTATATCTTATGCAGAAAGTAGTTTTTAGTGACTTGGGACAGATCTGTACTTATCAATATGGTTAGTGTTATTTCACACACTTTCAAATGAATATCAAGATGTATCAGAATATTCCTAACAGGACCACTGGGAGCCACTGTGCAAGGTTCAAGCTGGACAGCAGAATGGATAATCTGCCTCTTAATAGGAATTTTAACTGCAAGCTATTGATCAAAGGAAATAGGGTATGAGAAAAAAAAGGATTATATATTTTATCTCACGTTTTAAACATGCGTAGATCAAAATACAATTTTAGACCAAGTATCTCTTCATAGCATATTAAAAAAGGCTACTTGTGAGATATGAACAAGCCATTGTTTTGATTGTAAATAGAAACAACGAGTAGCCACAACAAATTTACAAAAAAATTGCCTACACCCTCACCCCTATATTGACATCCTCACACCCAACATGCGTGACAAAAAACCGTATTTGGAGTAACTTGTACCAGCACATACATATGGTAACCAGAGTGTGTAACAGGCACAAACACGCAAAAGTTAGTGAGACATCTCCTTAGGCTTATAATATACTCAACCAAGCAGACAAGTAAAGGCAAGACTACAATATCCCAGCTTTTGTTTTGTATGCTACTCCCTCCATTCCTAAATATTTGTCTTTCTAGAGATTTTAGCAAGTGACTACATACGGAGCACAATGAGTGAATCTACGCTTTAAAATATGTCTATATACATCCGTATGTGGTAGTCCATTTGAAATCTCTAAAAAGACAAATATTTAGGAACACAGGGAGTATATCGGTAGCATAGTGCATGCCAACTAGTACTAGAAGTACATATTGTAACTAATAAAACAACCATCCTTTATTTGTGTGAAAATGAAAATGTAGCCCCATAAGCAGCCATATGATTTGCAGACCTTCTACAGTTAAATTCATTTCAAAATACTAAGTGGATGTTTCAACAGACTGATCAAAAGAAACACATTTTGCAATCATTAGTTCTTTTAGATTGAGAAGAATATGTCCCTTCCAGGACATCCGACAATAGAGCAAACTACTTTTTTTCTTTTGTTAGCTTATACTACTGGGTGTTGAACCTACATTCATCGAAACCAGTTGCAGAGCCTGTATGTAGTGGCATTCATACGTATGAGACTTTCAAGGAAAAACATGCACTGTGCGATAGAAAATTCAGATGAACAAATCCTATTCATCTCACTAAGCTAAGATATGCAGTTATTTATTATATCACACATGTAAAAAGACCTGGGTCAACAAGCGAGCTACACTCATCAGCTTATCCAATTCAGATTTCCAAGTCGTTCAGTCAAAGTGCCGTACCAAATTACCATTAGAAGTATAGAACTGGATATAAAGTAGTAAGTTAATACCAAGAGAACTTACTTCCATTCAAGTAGAATCTCCGTTGATCATTAGGACAAGGCAAGAAGAGTACTTGCTGTGGGCTGAACAGAGCTTGAGACACCATGCAGAACCACTCCCTCAGAACACCAGGGCCAGTAGCCTCCTCATTCTTAAACTCCATAAACAGACCACTGTGAAGCTCACTGGGTTTTGCCTGTGTTATGTACTCGAAGGACTCATCCAGTAAACGTGACCGGTCGATCAACATCTCATGCAGCTCCCCATAGTCATCCTTCCCCTCAGAAAACAACATTAAGACCAAGTTCCTTCTTGCTTCGAAGCAGAGCAGATCCTTATGCTTCATGAGCCAGTGGAGATGCTCGTTCCTCTTGGAACAGCGCACGAGCGCATTGAGAGGTGCTTTGTGTGCCAGCAACACGAACCGCAGGTTGTGTGCCACATCCTCAAATATCCCTGAGATGAAATCCAGTTCTGTCAATATGGCAAGGATATGTAATCGGGTGACCCAGATAGGTTGATTTTCTATGCCCCCCCTAGTGTCAGATGACAAAGATGAAAGATCCATTTCCAACCTCTTGAGACACTCATCCACCCTTTTCAGCAGGTTCATGGACATTTCGTGCAACTCCCATACCCATGTGTCAGTACGCTTACACTCCCTGCTGTACATATTCTTTGGCATTGAGCCGTCAGGCATCCAAAGGAGTACCTGCTGGCGTAGGACTTTAAAGAAGTTTGAGAGCTCCTCAAGGTCTGTCCTTGGCACCAGCATGGTCTCTGATCCAAGTCCATTGAGGACCAATTCAACAATCTCTCTGGCAAACGGGAGGACCTGCTCGATCACCTTGGTGGGCGATTTGGAGGCACCGAGCACCGAGAGTGGCAAGCAGAGCACCGATGCAAGTGTGTAACGGCATGACTTGTAGAGGGAATCCTTGTTGCCCGCGGTGAGAGCGAGCAGGCGGCAGAACTCGAGCAGCACAGGCGCTGTGACGAGCATGACATTATGCGGCAGGGTGACAGGGTCGGTGCTGAGGAAGCACCTGATGGCGCGCTCGGCGTAGGAGCGGGAGAAGGAGAAATCGGAGAGGTAGAGGCGAACCAGCGCGATGGCGGCGCCGGACTGGAGGAAGATGTCGAGGTAGTCCTGGGCGTGGCGGTCGGTGTTGGTGGTGTCCCCCTTGGCCCTGCGATCGTTCCGGTTGTGCTCGCTGGCGGGGTCGCAGCAGGAGATGTACTCCTTGACGAGGTCGTCGAGGGTGTGGGCGGAGTCGGTGCCGGCGTCCCCGGAGGCGGCGGTGGCGGCGATGTGCGAGGCGAGCTGCCAGGCCTTGGGGTGCGGGGTGGAGCGGAGGCGGGCGGCGAGCTGGAGGGTGGAGTCGGGCGCGAGGCCGAGCGACGCGACGGTGGCCTCCGGCTGGAGCTGGCGGCCGGCGTAGAGGAGGCGCAGGTCGCGGCCGTAGCCGCAGTCGGCGAGGTGGGCGAGGACGGCGGCGACGGTGTCGTCCGCCGCCGCGTGTATCGCGATGGTCTTGGAGTCGGTGGCGCGCACGAAGAAGTGGAGGCGGCGGGGCGGGGGCGCGTAGAAGGCGGCGGAGGAGGAGGAGGAGGAGGCGCCCGCCGCCCCGGCGGAGGAGGAGGAGGAGGAAGCGCCGCCGGCGTGGGTGGTCATGACGGGCGCCTTGGAGGAGGCCTGGAGGGCATGATCGGGGGCTTCGCGGCGGCGCTTGGCGTGGCGGCGGTACATGCTTAGATCAGGACCATCGGAGGGCGGGGGGAATCGGGGAGGGTTTTGGAGCGGAAATTGGGGGACGGAGGAGGACGGACGACGCGGAGAGGAGGGGAGGGGAGGGGAATGGTGGGGGAGTGTATGTGTGTATGAGTAAACAACCCTCTCCTGTTCTGTTCTGCTCTGCTTTGTTCGGGTCAGACCTCCTCTGCCCCCGTTCTGCTTTGATGATCGCGTTCGGCGTTTTCCCTTGGCCTTTTCCTTCCCCTTTTACTCTTTCGCCCATTCATCACAGTTTATTTAGGCTGAAATCCCCTCTTTTCTCTCTTTAATGACTTGCACTCCTGCGTAGCAAACCTAGCCATCATTTGCCGCTAAAATGTTACTCCCTCCATTCACAAATATAGTGAATATAAATACTCCCTCCGTCCCAAAATTCTTGTCTTAGATTTGTATAGATACGGATGTATCTAACACTAAAACGTAACTAGATACATCCGTATTTGAACAAATCTAAGACAAGAATATTGGGACGGAGGGAGTATAAGAAGTTCTAACTTTTTAAGCAGATGTATATGGACATGTTTTAGTATGTTGGTTCACTTATTTCAGTCTTTTCTTTAGTTTTCACTCATTTCGGTCTGTATGTCTGTATTAAATCAATCAAATCTTACCAAAATCATAGGCCGTGCATTAATTCAGCCGAATCAAAACTTATTGTAACCTCAACTAAATTAAAATGTTTCTTGCCTTCCCCTACCCAAATCAAATCTAATCTAACCCAAAACCTCAACCAAATCAAAACTTCATTTGGCTTACCTTGCTCATACTCAATTCAAATCTTACTAAAATCTAGAATATGGTGGGTGTAATGTATATGGCACACACGACTGAGGTAAAACCACTGGAATATGTATGTCATTGTTGTAACAGGCCATTAGCTAGTATATATACTCCCTCCGTTTCTTTATATAAGGTGTATTTGTGTTTTGATAAAATTCCATAATGTAAGGTGCATTCTTTCAGATTCCTCGTAATTCCGCTTATAACCCTCCAGGAAAAGGAAAGTATCCCTTTCCCAATTGTCTGTATCTCTCTTGTAGCAAAAGAAGGAAAATATCTCTCTTGATTGCATGCACCTCTTAGTTTTCTAGACTAACTGATTTACTTGCCACAAACAAACAAATTTGCTAAGGGTAATTTCACTCTAACATGTCTATGGTTATGTGTCTTGGTCACTGTGCCGAAAATAATACACCTTACATAAAGGAACGAATGGAGAATACTATTGAACGGAGTTGGTACATTCACCTCACATTCTCATGCGTCCCTCCTACATTGGTTTTTTCCTACATTAACTCAACCAACTCAAATAAAATCTTACCAAAACCTTAACTAAATCAAAATGTTTATTGTCTTCCCCTACCCACACCCCATATCAAATCAAATCTTACGAAAATCTTATCTAAATCAAAATATTCCTTGTCTTCCCCTACCTGCACGCAAATCAAAATCAAATCTTATCAAAACCTCAAATAAATCAAAACTTTCCTTGACTTCCTCTATCCATATTCAAATCAAATCAAATCTTACTAATATCTAGAATATGGTGGGTCGAAGGTAA